GCTGGACGTCTCACCCCTTCCACTTGAACTTTATTTTACCCAATGTCGTTGTATTGCCTTTTCAGCTGGCTCACCCTCACATTCGTTTTCATTTATACCTTGGGCCTTATTCGACACAACGTGATGGCTTCTTCGTCTCCTACAACTTCAATTCCGATTCAAGAGCCGGTGTTTCTTCAATTTCTTCATGATGTTCACCATGCTTATCTCCTACTACACCGAGCAATGGCGTTACTTCCACCTACTCTCATCCCCAATATCGAACCTACACCGCTTCCCAGCACAGACGTGTGGAATCAACCTGATGGGCTACGACCGCACTACTCGGACCAGACCAACGCCTTTATTGACACCGCCCACATCCCTTCGCCGGACATAGCTGAGGAAGAGACACTTATGGATGAGCTTTTGGAAACAAACCTTCCTGAACCACATCACCACGTTGCTGCCCCGTCACCTGAAGTCCTCCCGGCACCCTCGAAGCTTTCAACCACCACACCAACAACTCCGAATCGCAAACAGAAAGCCAAAGCAGTTCCCAAAGCACCTGCAAAACGTCGTCGCCGACACGACAAATCAAGATCCCGCTCCTCGAGCCCATTGTCAATTTGGACCTCTGAAGACAAACAGAAACTTCGTACTTTGAAGGCAGATGAAAAGTCTCGATTTTCGTGGCGAGTGATCTCAACCAAGATGGGCAAATCGGAGGAAGACGTTCGCTCTATGTGGAATAAGATCAAAGACAAACTTGGCTGACCACCGGCGACATGCAAACAAGAAAAAGAGGCCCGGCGGCACCGTGTACCATCTTCAATACCCAACCTTCTGTGTATTTATTCTCCTTGCGTTACGGTATTGCCTAACCTAGCACTACATTATTTCACAGTCTTAACCCTGTCGGTACGGTTGCTCTACTTGAACCTTCAAACTCCACATTATCTACATCGTTAGCCATTTATTATGTCTCTCCGCATTCACCTGGACCGATATTGCCAGCAGCGAGCTATGGCCCACGATGGTATCTCTCCTACTCGACGATCACGCTCTCCGACCAGGGCACCACCGTCCGCTACGGGTTCTTCACCTTTTCAGCACCCACACGGCCGGACATCTCCGCCTTCTACACCCCATCGACCGGTTATTTTCCAATTGGACCTGAAACCTATGCAACAATTGGCAGCCAGAAACCCATATTACAACATCCTGGCCCCCAAGGTCGCGGGCAACCTCCCTACTGAAGCATATGATAGCCTGTTCCAGACCTTCAAGGTGATCTACCCTGACTACGCCCGCAGTCATTTCGTTTCAGACCTGAAAACAGTGGTGACGGACACGCTTCTACAGAGATGGTCGATACACTTACAGGCGACGGACTTCTACATGATGATCGACACCGACCAAGGAGCTCAGATGCTTGATGACCTCCCTCATTCGCTCCTGGACATTTTGAACTGGTTCTACCCGTCATGGAAAACTCATCAACATCTCGATGCCTTCACGTCTCGTGACTGCTCACCTTTGTTGCTGACACCCCATCCAGATCCGAAAGACACGGGCTTTGCTGTCCATCTTCAAGTGATTCCTCGAGGGCATCCATTCGTCACTGCCACCCGATACACTAAGACCGCTGCGTGACAAGCTTTTCGAGATACAATCTTGACCCGCTCACGTCTATAGAAAAAGGGAAAAGACCTGATCTTCAAATCTTCCGCTTTTCTGTTGATCCTTTTTTGAGTTCCTATGATCTCATGGTGTTCTCTACTATACTTCTCGTTGTTGTTTTTCAATTTGGACTTCTTTCAACGGAATTTCGGCTTCAGCTCATTTCGCTTCGATATCATATTAATGCTTTTGTACATGGCTACCTCCGCGACTGATGATGTTCTTCGGCTGGACCCAACCCGCTCCTCACCTACCTCGGTACAAGGCCCAGATTCACATCTACCACCCGATGATCCTACTTCGGCATCATACATTCCCAGGGCAGCCAGAATGACTCCAACCTCTACGACCGTTCATTCTATGTTTATTAAGAAGCTTAGCTACCCCTTGTCTTCTCGTCCTGCTGAACTTTGGATCGTGGAAAGGACACTAGATGGTATTGAAACGTGGAAACCATTGGAAACATTTTTGGAGAACATGCACCTTACCAGTGATCGTGCCGCCTTACGCACCACGGCTAACCATTGGCGACAGTACTATGATGTACCCATCCAATCATCTTCCTCCTCTACGGCAACTTCCGTTCCTGTTCTCCCACATCCCGAACACTCCAACGTCTACATTTCTCAACCGTATGAAGCGATACCGGACCAGCTTCACATTCTACAATCATGCTGGGGACGTTCGGCTCAACACCATTCACAAGGTACTACCACCTCTTTATTTTGGCCACCATGGAGATCTACACCACCTTCCTCACCACCGGCAACACTTCACCGGACCTTACATTCCAATAACCCTACCGCACCTGCTCACCATACAGATTGTCCACTTGCTGCGAACGAACCTGACCCTATGGATATGTCCGACTCTAGTGTGTAACACTCCACATTACTTTGCGGAATGAAAAAGGAAAAACGATCAAACATCGATTCGTGACCATGTTGTGTGTACATCGTCTTCTTCCGAGTCTTGCTTGTGGGTTTTGTTTTTCGACCTCTATAGTATTCTAATGTTGCAGCTTGGGCTTCATGCTTGATACTCGACGCCATGGCTCACTCTTCTCGCCCTCACCCATATCGCGCTACATCCAGGGTTGATACACCACAAGGTCCCCGAACTGCCGCATGGCTTGCCGGACATCGAGGCCTTCCTGGTGATGTGGACCCTCCTCCATACAGACCTGTCCTGATTTTAATTGACTACTCTCCTCTACAGGAATTGACACACCGTAGTGAACCCGACCGTGATCGCTACATGGCTATTGCCAATTCAAATTTGAAAAATGTTAGTGCAGGCGAACTTGAAGCTCTTTTTACCTGGTCACGTCAGCTGGAACCAATCGAAGCAGGCATTCTTCCCATTCGAGACCTACGTACCGCCATCACAACGAGATTACGGACCCAATGGGACATTCAATTTGAACCTTCGAATTTGGAGTTTCGCTATGGCGATCTGGAAGGTGATGCTTTCCAAGTTCCCAATGATTGGACCGTCATGCAGCTTTTGGAAGAATACCGTCCTGATTGGCGAATCCGGCAGTACAACTACATCGAATCCACCTTGCGCGTGCCGGGTACTTCACAGCCTTTCGTACTACGTCTGAGATGCCATAAGGTTAGCCCGGGGGTCATCCTACCTTGATGTGCTTCGCTGATGAACAGGAAAATGCCTGACTTTTTATCTTTTCTTTCATGAGACTTTATTGACACGGCGGACTCTTCGGATCTTCACCTTTCGATTCAATTTCCACCACCTTTTCTTCTCTGCATTGCTCCCTCCTTTGATCATTACTATGATTATTCTCTGGTTCGGCTTATATATTTTATAATTTCGCGTCCTCAGCTTTTGGGTTTGGCATTGAACGCATTTCGTGACCGTCTTACCCATGGAGCATAAACGTGATGCCACCGTGGCTGGCTTGGCTTGGCCTTCGAACCCCAACCGTGGACCCGCTACCACAGCCCCTGAACCAGAGTCAGGCGGCCCAGCTTCTGAACTATGTCATCCTGTTGCCCCTGACCCTACGACCTCGACTACCTCGACACCTTTGACCGCCAACACTACAACCAACGACATCGGAACCACCTCTCACAACGATACATACTCAGGCCCTGCACTACCTGATGTTCCTTTCCCGACTGAGCCAAGTCCTACCTACAACTTCTTCCATCGTGCTCACTTCTCATCACGCGTGGTCCACCAGATCCATTTCAAGATCATTACGCGCTCCAACAACACCAGGGAGTTATTCATCGAGGAGATCCCCATGTCGGGGCTATCCAAATGCCGTGATCCCGAACACTACTTTTATGGCCTTTCGGGCAACTGGGAGTGGTCCCTACGCACTGCGGACTATGTACATGGGCATCATCCTTTTCACAATGTTCCCATTGAGACCACCTCTCCTACGGAGGCACCCCGCTTGACTACGAAGATCCAGGAGCTGGCCAAACAACTTTCAGCCACCCTGACGGAAGCGATGGCATCTGGACAAATCAACGATACATGGAGGATGGTTGAAGGCATGAGCTTCCGCGACGCGATCCAAATACTTCAACTCGATGCGAATTTCCCTTCTGAGTGAAGTGACCGCAGCTCTGTATATTAGCATCGTGTAGTCTCTGTGGATTTGATTGGTTTTGCCGACCTCAGCCGCGATGATCTTCCAAAATCAAACCCCGCTACATGCGGGGTGTGTGTGTGTAACATCTGAACAGATGTAAAACTTCCTTTGTTTTTATCTCACATTTGCAGGGGGGTGCAGAGCACAGTGGAAACTGCACCCAACGAAGCTATCCACTTGTGCTGGAAGCAGAGTCTGATCAACTCTGTGTACCTGCAGAATACTGTTTGAACTGTTGAACATGCTGTCGTATTCATTTTTTTGCAATCATTGCGTGTGAATGGCGAGGGGCTAAGCCAAGTACCCCAACACCATGATTTTGTTTCTCCACGGTTGCCACAATCTGTATTTTATGCATCAGAACCTTCCTCAGTTTTTCGCCGAAACCATGTCGCCGACGGTATTCTGATTTTCTGGATGTTTTCGCCGAAACCATGTCGCCGATGTATTTGGATTATTTTGTCAAAACCACGTCGCCGATTTATTTATTTATTTTTGATGACGATCTTGGCCATGGAAACCACTCAGGAGAACTTCTATTATTCGTAGGATGCATCGTTAATTTCATTGTTTCGTATCTAATCTGCACGTTTCAGGATTCAGTTCCTGCCGGATCATATAATGATCCATTCTTGTCTAGTGTGTGTGTGTGTGTTATGTGTGTGTGCGCGTGTACATAACTTATTACTAACACATCTATGCAATCAGTCCTTTATGTCGGCCTTGCCTCATCATGTTGTCTGCGGTAATTCTGCAAGTCTGCCTGGCAATGCGCACTGAACTGAATGGACAAGAATAGGAGGCTTTCAAGCTGACGCAGCATGTTCACAAGGAGGTGCCTGCATTCGCAAGAATCCATCCATCACCTTTGCAACTTCGGCCTTCGCCTGATGGGAAGCGGCTGCAACACTAGACACACACACACACACCGAAAAAACAATCCTAGAAATCAATCAGCTTGAACAATTTTCCATTATTTTACATTGTATATTGCTACATGTTGCTATAGACTGCCTGTTTGTCTTGAATCTCAAAACTCAACTTTCTGCCTGACCTAAAATGACGCAATGCTGATGTACGCTTGCTGCATGTGTGTTGATGCACTCTTCTGTGTAGGATCCTCCGCCTGATCCCTCTCCTCTACGACCTTTGCTTCTTCAGGGGAGGGTTTCAGGGCGCCGCATTTATCGCACTCTGTGGCAGCCGCAAAATTCCTCGGAGAGTTTTTGGCCATGCAGTGTCTCTGAGGCCTAGAAGTCCAGTGCCACGAAGCCACTTCTGTATGTATATGTAGGTATTGAAGCATGTCACTGAGTCCGGGGCACATGGTCGCATTCAAGACATTTCCATTTGGAAGGCTTGTTCCTCAAAGAACACGAACCATCTGGCCATGACAACAATCATGCGACGAGCAGGGTGCAGTCACCTTTCCTCGTTCATTCGACGCATTGCGCAACATTGGGGACTTGGTGTTAAGCCACGCTGGCCTGACTACAGCTGTGTTGCGTCCAGGATTCGCTTCACCCTCCTCATCCTCATCTTCCTCATCACCCTCATCTTCCTCATCTGCCATTTCCTCTTCTTCGTCTCCTGTGGTGTCCTGACCGACAAAGTGGTGAAACTGCTGTGAGCAATCAAAGAGAGAACACACACACACACACCCAACACACAGCTGTGAGGAGGACTTACGCCTCCACTCATCATCTATTTGAGTGTTCAAACTTCACCCTGCCTCAGCCTTTGAATCTGGGCTTTCTGCTTTTGCCTCTGTCTCCCCTTCTGCTCGAAGTAGGACTATTCGGTGCCCCTTTCCCGGCCGTGCGCGAGTCGCAAGGCCGGTCAAGGCCACAGCTGCTGCGACGGTCCCAAAAACAGCCTCCGGTTTGCTGGAGGTTGAGGCCTCTGCTCTGTGGCCAGTTTCAGCTCTCATGCATGTGCGCATGCGAGGAGGAGCCACAAAATCGCATGAGAGCTTGGACATCCAAATGCCCAGCGCAACCACTACTGCTAGGACGGCATGCTTGGATCTTGCCATTGCGACTGCAGTGCCCTAGTGCCCTAGCACCACGCACGGAAAGCATAGGAGCCAGAACGGCTGTGACACTAGAGTCACTAGAGTTCAACATTTTACTAATTATACTGTTAAATGACTGAATTTGCGCGCTCTACTGAGCTTAGTCGATTCGACGCACGCAGTTGAGTGTATTAATTCGGATGTATTTGGTATGTGCATGTGCTTGCTGAAGAAATGCAACGAGGCCATGGCGCAAATTGTGGCTGGGAGGCATGAGAATCATCAGACCTTTGTAGCGCACTATCAGGCAAATGCCGAGCACTAAGTTGAAATTGCCAGCATTGTCTTCACTGTGACTGGCAATAAGATGGAGGCCGTACACTTCTGTCCTGGCAGTGCAAATCTGTCCCTTGGGAAAATGCACCTGGAATTTGTCGTCTATTCACAAAGCGGTAAGAACCAGCTGCAAGCCTGCTCAAGAAAAGTCTCTGCAGAAGCAAAGGATGCACCTTGATTTTGTGATGTTTCGTGCAAAGGTGACAGCTGACCGTGACTATGAGATACTGAGGTACTGTGAGATACTATGAGATACTATGACCTTCTTGCCAGCTTCTAGGACTTGTGGGCACCATGACGTGCCATGGTGCCATGGTGCCATGGTAAGATTCTAGCCAACCACAACGTCGTCACAATCACCTTGGCAACGGAGAGTAAGTGGCAAAACGGGTTTATAGTGCCTTCAGCCTTCCTTCTCTGCAGAAACTCTAAATGATCTATATATACATATCTAAGCAAGTCTGTGCATATCTATACATAATATCTATACATAATATGTATACATAATATCTATACATAATATCTATACATAAATAATATCTATACAGTTATACATATCATTACATATATTTACATATCTATACTATATAAACGGCAGAAGTGGTACACGAAACCCACAGAGTCAGCCACACTTGACAGGAACTTGCTTGGCAGGGCTGGCATTCGAAGCCTGTGGCCACCTCGGCACAAGGGTGCCTGGATCTGGTACAAAATGATCCAAATGGATCAAAATGGTGGTACAAATGATACAAATGCAGTGCCACACAGCGAATCAAATTGATGCTCAGGACAGGTCTGCCATCGACGTGGGCAACAGCTAGCGCGAAGCATCAGCCCAGTGGACCTCCAGGGGTGCAAGAGTGGCAAGAAAACACAAACATGACGATCAAGTCACATCAAATTCCCATGGTGAGATCCGCCTTCAAAATGCAGAGCTCCTTGCGAACGATTCACTGCAGGTGCTTTTGAGCAAGACGTGAGTGATTTCAATCAACTGTCCTCCACTGGTTTCAGATGCATTCGTGGAAAACGCGCTTGCAAGACCACCGGCAGCCCGTGACCAAAAGGCTCCATCTTGAACCAAAAGGGAACAGAGGCAGCAGGAAGCAATTTTGGTTGAAGACTCCAACTCCATCCACAGGCATTCAGAACCCAGTCCAAACATCTCTCTTTGGGAGAGCGATTTGACCAACGTGCAGGACAAACCCACGAAACAACTGCCGTCACATATCTTAAAACAGTCGCAACGAGAGCTTCCTTTGACTTCAGCAATCCACATGCACATTGCATGCAATCATCCAGCTGCACAGGTGCTTCCTGTGCTGGTGCATTGGCATTAGCGACCTGCAAATAAGTCCGCGCATCGACTTCAAACGTCATGAGGTTCATCCAAGGAGTGCACTGACGGCTGCCCTCTCGGAACCCACAGCTACACGTGAAGTTTACGCATAGCCCCTTGGCAGCCATCTTCGGCCTGCCCCTGACAAAAGTTGTCTGCCACTCATAGGGCTTTTTTCAGACATCTCTTGCTCCTCACTATCGCTCTCATCTTCATCATCAGAGTCAGAGTCTGAGCTAGCACCTTCAATCCCAGACCTCAAAGAAAGCGGCAACAGCACAAGAGCGGTCACATAATTTTGCACCGCTGCGGCCCTGGTGGCATAGCATCAACAAATGCTATGCGCGTGGCTGAGCCATCCGTGCTCGCCGAGCCTGAAAACAAACAGCAGCCAGGACTCGTGGACCTACAACACATATTGTTCGCACGGAAAGGCCCAACATCAACTACAACTTTCAGCATCAGCGACGAGGGAGCCTCCTTGACTTTCGTCCAAGCTGCCCATCCAACTAGAAATTTGTGAGTTAGAATGGCCTGAGCTTGAGCTTGCCAGGTCCAGCCATAGTCTTTTGCTCTGCTCAGACTCTGCTATGCTGTGCTGTACTGAGGGCCTTGCACACAATGGAAACCTTGTCAAGAGAAATGCAGGAAGTGACGGGGGAGTCTCAATTGAACTGGCCTGTGCTCCGGTGGAACAAGAAAACTCAGCTGAGCTCGTTGCAAAATCAAGCCTGAAAGCCGGCCGATTATGCACCGACATGCTCAAGAGAACGCATTGCGCTGACAAACGCTGACAGCGTGCAAAGTACAAAGCCCCCCCTAAGCTCAACTCCAGTTACAACTTGCAAAAGCCACATCCATCCGACCTGAGGGCTCTACGGGGAATGCTGGGGATGTCTTTCCGCTAAGATTCACAGGATAGAAGGATGGAGACAAATGGAGACAGATGGAGACAAATGGAGAATGGAGACAGATGGAGACGGATGGAGACGGATGGACGACGATGATGGACGGATGGACGATGAGGATGAGGATGAGGATGATGATGCTACTGTCCGCTGCAATTCTACGCAGCTCAACAACAACCAGAAGTTCCTTCGAATCTGAGCTCACAAGCGCCCGCAATGACAACATTGCAAATGCCCTTGCGCACGACCTTGTAAAGAGTTCTCAGTTCACAGACTGTCAAAGACTCTCACACCACCCAAAAGCACCAGCACAGTGGCCTGTCTGTAGTACGGGTAAATATTGTTCCCCTTGAGCAGGTTTTTGGCCCTGTCGGCCACTGTCTGCCACTGTCTACTCATTCAAGATGCAATGGGAATCACATGTTTCTTTTCCAATCTTGCAAGGTTTGCCTTCAATTCCTACCAGTACCGCACAAGGCGGTGGCGGAAGTTTCAAAAATAGGAAACCTATAGGAGAGGTGGGTTGTTGTGAATCAGAGGTGGCAGAGCGAAGCCACTGATGGATTGACAGGTGGTTGAGGTCTCCTCTCTTTCTCTGACTATCTACCTACCTACCTACCTACCGATCTATTTCTGTATCAACCAATCAACCAATCAACCAATCAACCAATCAACCAATCAACCAACCAATCTATCTATCTATCTATCTATCTATGTATCTATCTATCTATCTATCTATCTATCTATTTATCCATCTATCTATCTATCTGTTTATCTATCTATCTATCTATCTATGTATCTATCTATCTATCTATCTATCTATCTATGTATCTATCTATCTATCTATCTATTTATCCATCTATCTATCTATCTGTATCTATCTATCTATCGATCTATCGATCTATCGATCTATCGATCTATCGATCTATCGATCTATCTATCTATATCTATCTATGTATCTATCTATCTATCTATCTATCTATTTATCCATCTATCTATCTATCTGTTTATCTATCTATCTATTTATCTATCTATCTATCTATCGATCTATCGATCTATCGATCTATCTATTTATCTATCTATCTTTCTTTCTTTCTTTCTTTTTCATTTTGTGAACTGGACAACATCCAAAACGAAGCAATTCTGCGAGACTTATTCATTTTTTGAACTTGACAACATCAAAAACAAAGCAATTTTGGAAGACTTCCTTCAAAAATGGAAAGTCAAGTGCAGAGCTGACAGCCTCGTACCAATGCGTTTTGCGATTTTTCCAGTCCACCTGTCTAAAGTACTGCGCCTGCCACGAAAAAGTGATGCCAGGTCATACGAAGTGCTGCACCTGTCACGCAAAATCATCTTAGCAAACCTACAGATCTGATTCTGCAAAATGCAACCCTCTCAGGAAATCAGTGCCCTGACCTCCTAACAGCTCTGATGAACATGTCTTTTGTACTGCGCCTGCCACGCGAAATGCATCTTTGCAGATCCTCTTCAAATGTTCCACGCCTGCCATCGTTTTTGGAAATGCTACAAAACCCTCACGTTTTGCTTACTTTTGAGAAGGTGCGTGCCACGCGAAAGCACATCTGAACGTCCAAAAGTGCTCCGTACCCGTCAGTTTTTTGCACTTTTGACTTCGAAATGTGCTTCGCGCCGCAACGGCGTGCACTTTTTTGACATCGCAACTTCCAAAAGTGGTCCGAGAATGATGTGTTTTGTACATTTTCACTTCGAAATGTGCTTCGCGCCACAACGGCGCGCACTTTTTCCCCCAAATCATTGGAAAAACACAGTGTTTCGCGACTTTCCTACCTTTTCTCGCATCTGCATCTTCTTTCTTCTTACTCTTTCTCTTCTACTCTTCTTTCTTCTAATATTTCTCTTCTCTCTGCCTCTTCCCTGCTCTGCTTTTCATCTGTCCATATTGTCGGAAGTTTGACTTCTAAACTTCCTTCGACCATGCCTCGCCTGTCCAGGATTTGTCGCGCTTTGATGGCTATATCGTCAACGTCCAGTTTGAAGAATGCAGGGCCTCAACTCATCAGCTGCCACCCAAACAGGCACACAAATGGAGAATATGTTTTTGCGATTGGGATATTTTTGGATTGACATTTGTTCAAACCCTGCCAGCGTCTTGGGCACCGGCATGCGAGGCCGAACCCTGCCAAACCTATCTTTGCCTCAAGCAACATGAAATCTATGGCACGATGAAGCCGTGCAAATGCCTCAGCTCCGGGCTTTGTCATAATAGTCTTGGATCTGATTGATATACTTCCTGGCCAGTGCATCGTACCTGAGCTGGATGCCCAAAGTGCAACAAAATGGATTCAATGGAATCGACAAACTGAAGAGATACGAAGCAATCTATTCAAACTCAAACCGTAGAAGGTCCATTCGTAAGTTTTGCTAGGACATGCTAGGACATTTGGATATAAGAACAAATTCATAGAAGCAAGTGCCGAAGGCCCTATGCATCTTCCTCCCAAAACCACACAGAAACTCCAGTAATGATGAAGAGTTTCATGCTGTTCACGCCAAGCTGCTCCATGACCGGATTCTTCTCAGCACCACCTCAAGGACTCAAGGATACGATGTATCGGAAGGAATCGGATCCAAGAATGAGATCTGCTATGTCCAAACAGAACCCAAACCGCAAGCTAGCTGGGGCGTTGGCGGATGTAGTAGTTGGCAATCTCGGGAATTACGCCGGAGATGTTGTACCTGAAACGTTCAGTATCCGCCTCTGCCTATATTGCCAAAGCCCTTGCAACTTCTTCCAACAAATCAAGCAAGTGAGCACATTTTGCCAGAATTTGTGAACCATTAGAAGCGGCAACAAATCAGCCGCCAGTAGAAACTATACGCTAAAATCACTAAATGAACCCAACCACTAAATGGATAAATCTAACATCCAACCTCCAAACAGTTTTATATCATATCATATAAGTAACTGTGAATACCAATCTGCCAGGAGACGTGGTGGAATTGATGTACGAGAGGACGTTGTGGTCAACATCTTCGCAGAATTTGCCTTCAAAGAAACTCACCGGGCCCAGCTACATGCACTACAGCAATGGCTGCCCTGCAAGTGGACTGTACGCATTCCTTTTTCCATGCAAATAGGCTTCCGGCTCAGGATGATCATGAGGATAGTTTCCACACAGATCAAGATTGCCACGACTAGAATCTCAGCAACGTGACCAACGTGACCAACGTGACTTCTTGTGCTCCCAGAAATTGCACAATGTGACTTTGCCAGTCTCTCTCCATCTCTCTCCATCGCCATCTCCCGGAGAGCCAAAGGCATCCAAAGGCTAAAGGCATCCAATTTGCATATTCAATGCATAGTTTCATAGTTTCTTTTTGATATATATATATATATGATATATTAAGTCTGAGGCAATGAGAGAAAACAGAGCAGCGGCTAGTTTCAAGCCTGAGAGGTAGGAGGGCCGCCAAATAGAGATGGCATGCACAAATCATGTAAACGCAAAGCAGAAAAAATGCAATCTGTAGAGCTGACAATGAACTGCTGAGGACAGGACCTGCGTCTACACACTTTGTGATGCTGCTGTTCCTACCTGAACTATACAAACTACCCTGATGCACTGCACTAAACTGAACAACTCGCGCAAACTCCCACGCCCACGAGATTACAAGACGCACTGGCTCTTGGAAATTTAATTACGGCCAAGCAACAGCAAGTGGTCATGGTGGCCTCAAGCACAATCAAAGCACCTGAAGGCATTCAAGTTTTTCTTGGCACTCAAGTGTGGCACACTGCAGAATGCAATCTCATGACCATGCCAGAACTGGCAGAAAAACAAGGCTCCAACAAATAGCGGCCCTCAGCTCCAAATACCGGGAAATACTCAAAATCTTCTGCTGAAGTCTGATGCCTTTGTGTGTGCTTGACATGCCGGATTTTTCAAAGCAACTGCCATAAATGCCATTGAAGTCGCATGAGCCCCAAAGGAGCCAAAGGCAACCTCACACTTGTTGGACGCTGGCCTCGCAAAGAGTGCGGATCACTATTGTACAAACCAAAACATTGCCAGTCTTGCAGCACCATCTGCACACAACATGTCGGCCTGAAGCAAATTCTCGAAACTTTTTGATTTGATCTGGAATTGGGACCACCTGAGTATCAGGACAAATGGGTAATATTGACAAACCCTCGGCTCTGGAGATGCCTGTTGGATCCCCACACAAAGTGCAAGTAAATGAGTAGTCAAATGTGCAGGGTGCGTATGGATATGTATATATATATAACTAAATTTATGGACCGATATTGCATGCATCAAAACAAATCAAAACACTATAAACTCATTGAAACCTTTTTGATTGCCATCATATGCCATCAGAATTGCATGCTCCTACCAGCAGTCTGGGATAGTCTGGGGCTCAGGCAATATCTACAATGCTGTAGACTTGGTCCACGTAATCATCAATGGCCCCTGGGTAGCATACAGTCAATACAGTAAGCTGCAAATGTTGAAGTGTGTCCTGCTAGGACCAAAGGGGCCGAGGCACCCAAGGCATTGCTGGTAAAAGTGTAGAGGATCTGCTTGGCCATCCTGCCACCGAGGCGGAGGCATGACATGGCACAGCAATCCCAGCATCAAATCAACGTGATTAAACAAATGACACAAAGGCAACTGTGGAAACTCAGGAGATCTCAGGAGATCTCAGGAGATCTCAGGAGCAGACTTGTTGTCGGTCTTGCAGGACAATGGGATCTATCGGACAGGTATGGCAAAGCTCGGCAAAGCTCGGCAAGGGCAATTGAACAATTTCCAAAGATCTAAACATAAAACCCCATAAAAACATGCTCACGAAGCATCCATGATTGCGTATGGTCCTGCAAAAGGTTGTCATGCAGCTGAGAGATCTCAGTGCAACCAGTTTGACCGCTAATGACCGCTAAGCCAAGGGCATATGCACATGCTCTGCAACTGCAGCAACGCTTTCAACTTCATCATGGCGGTGTGTTTGGTGGCTGAGCTATGAACGGTCTGGTTGATAGTCAAGCAAGCATCAGCGATTTCTACAGCGTTGTCCTGATGATGTTACTGCCAGTGCTGAACATGCTCTTTGATAGCCATCTCATGCTGTTTCACAACTACACATTCAAGAGTGTTGGCTCCTCAGCTCTTTGCAAGTTCTTCAGGATCAGCCTTTCCTACAGGTTAATTCATGTCCCAAGACTTTTTGCACAGAGATCTGTCAAAAGTCTGAGCTACCCGCCGAGCGCATGTAGTTTACAACCCGGAAGTAGATGCCGGCACTCGGAATAGAGACATTGGAGACAATTTCACTCATCAGCTGGTCAACTGCCAAAAAATCGCATTAGGAATTAGGAGTACTCCCACCATTCCAAAAAACCATTTGCGTTCATGCAAGCTCAATCAGACCAGGTGTTCCTTTGTTGAGCATTCCATGCAAGCAGGCAACGAAGGCATATAGCAAAGGTGACCTGCTTGCCTTCACAAGTCGCCTTTAGTTTTTAGTTTTGCTTGCCCGTTGATGGAGTAGTATAATGCAAACAGATAGATAGATAGATAGATAGATAGGTAGGTAGATAGATAGGATAAGACAAGACAAGACGAGACAAGACAAGATATGACAAGATAAGATAAGATAAAATAACATACAGTAATATATATAATGTAATATAATATAATATGATATAATATAACATAATATAAAATATAATTATATGATATATGAATATATATGACATGAGGGGTGGCAGCAGGACAAGAGCTGCGCAGCATGGCAGCCCTGAGTTCGCAGCAAACACATCAAAAAAATCAGCAATGCTGTGCAGAACATGGGGAGACACCTCGGCGAACTAGGGACAATGTCAATGGATGTCAAGTTATGTCAATGCAAAATGCAGGATGTCCTGTCATTTTTACTGATTACAGTACTTCTGCAGGCTGAAGGGACCAGTCTTGGCAGGCTGAGCTCCAGCACGCAGGCCGCTTCTTCCATGCTCGCCGCGCGAACTCCTCGTCGGAGATCAACTTGCGGCCTGTTTTGCCTCATCTTTCACACAATTCCACACAACTCAGATGCCAATACTGCAAAATCATCATACACAAAAAAAAACATCAATCAACTAAAAAAAATCACATCTAGCACTCTTGCTCCATCATGCAGGCCTGATATGAAGCCTTCAGCCTGATCCTCAGAGGGTAAACTGTTGAAAAATCAATGAAAGTCAACTTGAACAAAACATAACAAAACTATCATCACAATTTTGTACCGAGTTTGCTACGTGTTGAATGTCGGAGAAGTCCATGCTGTAGTGGTAACCTTGCCAAGCTAAGAGCCCTCATGGCAGTCCGCTGACCAGTGTTCGGTCTGACAAGTGTTTGGCTGTCTCAGTGTGCTGCCACTACCTCCACCACAGCAAATGCATGCCTCAGATAAACTGAGATATCTCCAAAATTTTCCAAATATGGTTCCGAACTGGGCAAGAGATCATCAGCGCGGTGCACGATTTGATGTTCTGTCCATCTCAGGAGGCTGCGACCGTAGCAAAGGAAACAACAATGCCAATCAGCAGTAGCATGACGGGAACTGGGATAATCCTGGAGAAAACTCCGCAAAAAAGTGCAAGTCTTGGTGTGTATGTCCAAAACGTTTTGGAAATGCGCCATTTGCGGCGATTCTGGTGAACAAGAATTTCAGCTAAAAACTGGTGGCTTTAGAATCTCGGCGGCCAGGCTGAAAGACATGTTGCATGTAGATTTCTGTCAGCCTCAGCTCAAATGCTGCAGGATCAGTGTATGCATGTCAAGCTTGTTTGGGGGGGCAAAGGAAGGTCTCCAAAAAGAAAAAACTGCTGGCGTCCCAGCTCCTCATAGTCAGGAAACGGGTCCTGAGCCGACGGGAGACTGATGGAGACTAATGGAGCTGATGGAGACTGGCCTCGTTCTCTCTGCTGAACTCTGAGTTTCCCACCATGTTGCTCATAGAGCTAAAAAGCACCAACCAGTTATTTGGGACAAATTCAGGTGGCGCCTTAGGAATGCAATAATGCAAGATCACTTCAATAATAATTGACAATAATCATATTGCAGAAACATGCAGAAACACTACCTACTGCAAGCGCAAAAGGCTTTCGTCACCTGCATCTGATTGGAGATCGCAAGCAAAGTTGACAACCTGTTTCTGTCATGGCACTTGTTCGACTCCATCAACCCAGGGTCGCTTAGTGAAACTTGGCTTGGCAACCAGTCGAATGACCGGACCATAAAGTGCCTTGGTGGCCAATGCGGCCAACACAATTTCCATTCTTATCATTCTTTATTCCTGATTTGTTTCAGGCTTCTCTTGCTCAGGCTGGGGTGCCTGTTCGGCAAGTGCATCTTGGAGTATGTCTTTTGCTCGCCTTAGATCACTTGTAGTATCATCAGCCTCCGACACCCAGTACTCATAATCTTGCCCGTGCTTGCTGAGCACCGCTGGCGTTTTGAACAGCTCCTGAATGTCTTCCCAGGCCTTGCCACTGTCAATGCTGAATAGAAAGTCTGATGCTTTCCTGAGTCCAGCAGCCGCAGTACCTACACCGAAGCTCGTTGGCGATAAGTGCGATCTCTGCGATCTCATTGTGTCTGTCAAAGGGTCAGCGCTGTACCACCGCAAGCGGCCCTGGAGGCCAGATGATTCCATCACACCAAAGTCTGAATGATCAGACTGGCTCGGCACTTTGCAGTTCACGTCACTAAAATCCAGTTTGGAGAACGGCATGGCAAATATGGCATCAAGGTTTTGGAGATCTGGGTGGGCTTGAATCTCGGGCCGCTGAATCTGACAAGAATCCGAACGTCCAACGTTAATGGCCAGAAAAAATGCATAAAATGCATACACTGCGTAAGCATGTACTTGTACCACCATCAAACTCATGTGCTTGCAACATGATTCACCGACTGAGGCCGACACAGCACCACGCACGCAAATCTGACACTTTCAGAACAAAACACAACAAACACTTCCAACATCTTCCAATGCATGCTGCATGCCTGCGGCTTGCAAAGGTCCCCATCTCGGTGTACCGGGCCAAATCAATGCTGAAAATTATGATGACACTGTAACCCCCAAACTGTGATGTTATTGAACATTTCTCTGTGCACATTGGTTTTGACAAACCTGAGGCACCTGCCAGCACAATATCCATCTTTGCACAAACACTTTCCCAAAAAACAATCCGTAGGTCCTAAAGCGAGGAAACTGCATGGTGTTGGCCAAAAACAACCACCAGTTGTTGAAATATGGACAGCTGCCAGTCCTTTCCATGTGCTGCATTCCCCCAAACTGCCGAAGATCCCCGCCATGTAGCAAGTTCCCACCTGTGCAGCGTTCGGGATATGATGGGACAAGTAAGTCATCGAAATTAGACACATTGAAGGACTACACACACACAACATGTGGTGCGCACAAATGATTACCCTCGGAATGGCACAATTTGGCTGGCCAAAAAAATGTTCCGCAGATGTTCTTTGATAAAATGTACGGCCATCAACAATGTCAGGAAACATTGAGAAGGAAAAAAACGAAAACCAACATTCTTGCGCACGTACTGGACATGGCGAGAGAAACGACTATAAAAAATGAAATTGGACAGGACAATGGCGGACAATAGAGGAGTGAGGCGGGTCAACGTTTCCCATCACCTTGCCGGGCCTCACACATCTTGACAGCAACCCAAGACATGACTCGACAACCCAACGCAAACAAGAATTATCAACAATTGGTTAAAAAAATCATTGTTGTGGCATGTTTTGTTTTCTTTCGACACATACGCTCCTTGACCGGGCCTGTCTTGTTAGACAGTGCAGATACCAGCAACAGTAACTTGGGACGGAAACGGGCGAGGTTAGACATGATCGCAGTTGCAACAGCAGGACCTTCTTTATAGATCATAATGAGGATCTCGCAAGATCTTCATACAAGAACTTCCAAGGAACATCCCACGAAAAACTTGCACATAAACACCAATGCAGACGATCTTCAAGATCTTAATGCAAGGAACTCTTGAGGAGGATGCCAACCGGATCTCCACAAGATCTTCTCACAAGGACCTGCACGCGATCATGCAGCAAGGACACCTATTAGATTTCACCGTGACCTCGTCAAGAGCTTTTCACGCGGGCTTGTGCAAAACCACCCAAAAACCTCTGACAGCATGCCACTAGGATTTGCACAAGATCTTCTCGCAAGGACGTGTGAAGACCTTGACCAAGACTTGCATACCAGGACCCCTAAGAGAAGGTCACAAGATCGTCATAAAAGGACCTGTGGCTGCCGGGGCGGATCTTACAAGAGCTTGATACAAGAACCTCCCAAGAGCCTCCCACAAGAGCTTTCATACAAGCACCTGTAAGACATGGCGCCCGCAAGATCTTCACGCAAGGACTTCTCAGAGGCATTTTGTAGAGAGGATTTCACAAGGATTGCCAAAAGATTTTCTGGTAAAGGCCTATACGAAATCACGCAAGGACCTCTGAGAGGATGTCAGCCAAATCTTAACAAAGTTTACTCATAAGGACCAATGCAAAATCATGCAAAGACCCGTGACAGGATTTCATCCGGATCTGCACAACAGCTGCTCATCTCAGAAGAAATTTATTACTATCATTATTACTACTATTACTATTATCATCATCATTATTATTATTTGAAAATTTGCAGGTAAAATGCCGCAGACCAAGACCGGGAGAACCGTTTTGTGCAAGCCTGCGGAATCGAAATGCACACAGAAATCGTTTATGCAACAATTTACAAATGAAATGCCGCAAACCAAGGCCGGGACAACCGTTCTGCGCGAGCCCGCGCAATCGAAATACACTTGGACATATGAAAAAAAATACGAAAGAATTCTCAAGTAAAATGCCGCAAGCCAAGAGACTGGGACAACCGTTTTCCGCGAGCCTGCGTAGTCCGAATTCACCTGGACATCAATTTTATGCGAAAATTATCAAGTCAAATGCTGCAAACCAAAGACAGGGACAGCGAGCCTGCGCAATCCACATGCACTTGGACGTCTGAAAAACAATTTTATGCAAAAATGTTCAAACGAAATGCCGCAGACCAATATCAAGGAAAACTCGCAGCGCAGACTTTGCGCGAGCGTGCGCAGTCGAAATGCTCATGGACATGTCACAAAAACCGTTTCGCGCGATAATTTACCGGAAAAAACCGGCCAACAGATAGAACACCCTGATCAACGACCGGCCTTAACTCCTACTGTGAGAACACCTCAATGTGAACACACTGATTGGGGGAAAAACATGATGATTTCGGCAGGAGTACTACAGGAATTGGCATCTTGACAAGCGGAAAACATGAGACAAACCGAGAAATTCAAATTTAATCCAAACCCAAAACGTCTTCACAAACAACAGTCAGAGTGCTGGCATGTTGTTTCACAACCAATCGCCACAAACGCATTATAATTAGTCTCGGACATTCTCGGGCACTCATTCATTTTTCATTTTTTCTTTTTGACACGTGCAACCTGAAAAAACATTCACACTAAGAACCTTTTACCTTCCAGGGTTCCAACTGTGAGGCTGTTTCGTTGACACCAGGTTATTGCTGTGCCGACAAAACCTATTGTCTTTTCAATTTAACCGCTCTGTTTTGGCAACGCTTGCAAACCGTAATCGCCATCCAAAATTAAGACAAAATGTTCAGTGTGAAAATGCACGTTTTGAGGAAAAACCGTATGTCTCAAATTTAATCCAACACACGCGCGCGCACACACACATATATATAGATAGGTAGATTTATGTATTTATTTATTTATTCCCGAGAGCGTCTGAGCGCAGGGTTCTTCCAATAGTGGGGGTCTGCATCTCATCTTCTCATCTTCACATCTTCTCATCTTCACATCTTCACAGCTGCTCATCTTCACATCTTCTCATCTTCACATCCTCACATCTTCTCATCTTCACATCCTCACATCTTCACAGCTGCTCATCTTCACATCTTCTCATCTTCACATCCTCTCATCTTCACAGCTGCTCAATCCTTCTCATCTTCACATCTTCACATCCTCATATCTTCACAGCTGCTCATCTTCACATCTTCTCATCTTCGCATCTGCTCATCTTCACATCTGCTCATCTTCACATCTGCTCACCTTCACATCTTCTCATCCTCATATATTCTCATCTTCACATCCTCACATCTTCTCCTCTTGTCCTCTTGCCTTCTTGCCCTCTCCTTCTTTTCTATTTCTTTTTTGAAGGCGGGGGGCAGGGGCAGTGCCAACGAGACGGCACGAAACGCAACCCTTTCGCACGAAATGAAGTTCGATCGCCAAAAACTGAAGTAAAATTGCGATTTCAACTTGTCCGGAGAAACCCTTTCGCACGAAATGAGGTTCGATCGCCAAAAACTGAAGTAAAATTGCGATTTCAACTTGTCCCGCGAACCCTTTCGCGCGAAATGAGGTTCGATCGTCAAAAACTGAAGTAAAATTGCGATTTCAAGTGGTCCGGCGCAACCCTTTTGCACGAAATGAGGTTCGATCAGATCGTCAAAAACTGAAGTAAAATTGCGATTTCAACTTGTCCGGAGCAACCCTTTCGCACGAAATGAGGTTCGATCGCCAAAAACTGAAGTAAAATTGCGATTTCAACTTGTCCCGCGAACCCTTTCGCACGAAATGAGGTTCGATCGTCAAAAACTGAAGTAAAATTGCGATTTCAAGTGGTCCGGCGCAACCCTTTTGCACGAAATGAGGTTCGATCGCCAAAAACTGATGTAAAATTGCGATTTGCAAGTCGTCCCGCGAACCCTTTCGCACGAAATGAGGTTCGTTGCCAAAAACTGAGGTAAAATTGCGATTCGTCTGTGTGTAAAAGCGTCTGTGTGTAAAACCGTCTGTGTGTGAAAGCCTCTGTGGTGTGAAAGCCTCTGTGGTGTAAAAGCGTCTGTGTGTAAAAGCGTCTGTGTGTAAAAGCGTCTGTGTAAAAGTGCCTGTGTGTAAAAGTGTCTGTGTGTAAAAGTGCCTGTGTGTAAAAGCGCCTGTGTGTAAAAGTGTCTGTGTGTAAAAGTGCCTGTGTGTAAAAGTGCCTGTGTGTAAAAGCGTCTGTGTGTAAAAACTTCTGTGTGTAGAAGCTTCTGTGTGTAAAAGCTTTTGTGTGTAAAAGCGTCTGTGGAAAAACTTCTGTGTAAAAGCGTCTGTATGTAAAAGTGTTTGCGTGTAAAAGTGTCTTCGTGTAAAGCGTCTGCGTGTAAAGCGTCTGTGTGTAAAGGAGTCTGTGTGTAAAAAGCGTCTGTGTGTAAAAGCGTCTGTGTGTAAAAGCTTCTGTGTGTAAAAGCTTCTGTGTGTAAAAACTTTTGTGCGTAAAAGCGTCTGTGGAAAAACTTCTGTGTAAAAGCGTCTGTATGTAAAAGTGTTTGCGTGTAAAAGTGTCTTCGTGTAAAGCGTCTGCGTGTAGAGCGTCTGTGTGTGAAGGAGTCTGTGTGTAAAACCCTATGTGTGTAAAAGCGTCTGTGTGTAAAAGCTTCCGTGTGCAAAAATGTCTGTGCGCAAAAGTTTCCGTATGTAAAAGTGTCTGTGTCTAAAAGCATCTGTGTGTAAAAGCGTCTTTCTGTAAAAAGTTCTGTGTGTGAAAAGCTATTTGAAAGATACGATGCAAACTACTGTCTTGTACTTGTAATATATTGTCTTGATACTACTCTCCTCGTCTGCCTATAAAACATTTTTAATATATTGTCTTGTTATATGGTGTCTCCATACTAACAACAGAAGACCCTGCTCCTCTACGCTCTCGGGCCATCCGTCGTCTAGTTTTAAATTTACAGGTGGGTTGTTAGATATATACAGAGATTTGCCCCAACCCATGGTCCGGGCCAGAAATTCTTGGTGTGAGCATTCGCAATGGCACGGACATATGTGAGTTCGCATAACATGGGTTCATATACCCAAAAAAATATCTTTGATATGATATATGTAATATGTATACTTGTGAATATATGCATGTATACAAAGAGGCTCTAAGTGTGAGCGCCCGGAGGGGCGCACAAACATATGCGAGTTCGCACAACATGGTGCGTGTACAAACATATCTGTGATATGATACGTATATTTGTGAGCACACGGACTTATACAGAAAATTCTAAGTGTGAGCACTCGCAAGGGCACAGACATATGTGAGTTCGCACAACACGGGTTCATATACAAAAGTATGTGATATGATAGGTGCATTCCGAAGTGATGCTTGTGAATATTTTCATGTATACATTGAGGTTCTAACTGTGAGCAGCCGCAAGGGTACACACAAATGGCAGATTGCACAGCACGTGTTAATATACAAAAGTATCTGTGACATGCTGT